AATAATAATAATAATAATAATAATAATAATAATAATAATAATAATAATAATAATAATAATAATAATAATAATAATAATAATGTCATATAACATGAGTAAATATACAGACATAAAACAATACAATAAGGATTAGGTGTTCAGCAGAATGAAAGCACAAGAGAAAAAAAACTGTCCTGGTGTCTAGATTTCTGGCATGCATTGCCCTATACTGGCATCCTGAGGGGAAGCATTGAAACAAATCATGTCCAGGTAATGAGGGGTCTATAGACACTTTCTCAGTTTCCCTTGAATCACTTCAAATAGCCCTCCTCGAACCAATTCATCCTATGAGCAAATCATGTCCATTCACTACATTAGAAAAGTACATTTATTAAAATCTGAATAATGCACTTTAATTAAATTGTGCGCCAAATTGTGAAAAAAATTTCAAGCAGTCCATGTGGAAAAACAAAAACATTACTCAAAGCCTTTGATTTTCACTATTGCAGGATGTAATAGAAGTCCAACCTTATTTTTATTAAAACAATTGGAAATAAAGAGCAGCTTAAAATTATTCTAAGCATATTTTAATCACTAATACTTAAAAATATATCACAACTTGTTTATTCTCTGAGAAAAAAAAATTCTTAAGCTTGACAACTTTTACTAAAATTTGCAGAAAATGTGTAATTCATGTTTTCCAAATGTCACTTTTCTTTAAAAAGTTGAGCATGCTGTATCCTACAAAAATGTGAATATTTAATCTGTTTAGTAAACTGTCAAATATAGCCAACAGAAAAAAAATGATTGAAAAGAAATTGGTCTGCAATTAAAAAATTAATCATTAAAAATATAATTAGATTTGAGATAGTTTTGCATTGAAGTTATACCCTGGCAGACAGGGAGGGTTAGAAAGTCTTAGCTTATCATTTGTTGTAATATCCATGAAGAACAACTTTATGTATAATAAGTATTAAACAGTATTAAACAAGAGCCAGGTGACATTTACAGTATCCCAAAAGCCAGCTAATTGGGGGCAAAGGCCCAGTCCACAGGCCTGGCTTATTAGTCACTTTTTTGGAAGTTTCAGTGGCATTGGAACTTGGTGCTGGCACCTAATCTAGCTGTGCTAGATTAGGTGCTGGCTCCTAATCTCCCTGATAAATTGTTTGTTTTGTTTTGTTTGTAAAGCTTTTTTTCTGCTGATCTACTTTCTTTATGGACCCAGCTGGATGATAGGCCTCACTCACCCATAAGGCATCTTGCACCCCACTCAACTACCCACATATTTGTTTACCGAATGCATCAGGGAAAGTAGGGGATGGGGCTTGTTAAGAAAGGCTTACTCACTTAACAGCTATTCCCATTTGCTACTGTAGTGACCAGGCTCTGTTATGGTTTAGGTTGTGGACCAGCTGCTTCATCTAGTAGATGTAACTCAGTGGTAATTTTTACATCTACAAAGTTAACAATATTGTTTGGACCAGCAGCATTTTCAATTTCTGAGACCCCATAGATACTAAAACAATTGGTTAACTTTTTAAAACTATTTTAAATCTAAAAGTCCTATTATTTATTTTTATAGTTTTACCAATCAATTAATTTGAAATTCGGAAGTTAAGAAATGGAATAAAGAATTAAAGATTCTTATATTGTTTAGACCAGAGTTAGCGAACCAGTGCACCAAGTGCCGAAACTGAAGCACACATGTGTAGGGGAGCACCGGAAACTGGAAGAGCAGCTCCCCGGCACACTCATGGGGTTAAAGCTTCTGGTTTCCGGTGTGCGCAGGAGCGCCAGCTACCTGGTCTTTTGGTTTCTGGTGCGCGCACACGTGCCACCCAGTTGATCTTTACGTGTGCATGCATGCCAGAAACCATGCATGTATGTGCAAAGATCAGCTGGCTGTCATGCATGTGCGCACTGGAAACCGGAAGCTCAGCTTCCCGATGCACGCATGTGTGCCAGGGAGCTGCTCTTCTGGTTTCCGGCGCTCCTGCACATGCAAAGACCAGCTGGCCAGCGCACATGCATGCACCGGAACCCAGAAGTGGCAATAGGTTCGCCATCACGGACCTAGAAAATGGGAAAATATTTTAACTCCTGTAGCAATACTGTCAATAGATGAAATTACAAATGAAAAATGCTTAGAATGTATTAGATTGTATTGTGCCTGTCTAGAAATGTCTAAGACAGCATTTTCTTGGAGATGTAATAGGTATAATACTTCTTTAAATTGTTTTTAAAATGCCCTACACTTATTATGTTTCAAATAAAATAGTGGATTATATAAATGTGATTGTGCAACAAAAGAAAACATTTTGAGAGGATAATCTTTACTTGAACTACATTGATAATACATGGAATTTGACAATGGGATAACATAAATGGATTGCCCATGCTCTTACTGATATTGCCATCATATGGATGGAAGGCTTGATTACACTTCCTATTTATAAGTGGATTGCCTACAGATGTCAACTTATTTAAGTGAATAAGTCAGACCAACTACTTTATATATTAATACTCTCCAGCTATACATTGTTTTCCAAGTTATTGAGCACAATTATTTTGTTGCTATCTATTCTCCTAACAAGCTATGATAAGCCCATGATAAATACAGTAAAGAAATGAATGAACCATTTTCCCCAAACAAGGCATTTTATATAGCAATATAAAGTATCCTATCCAGCCTGGTTAAATGCAAAATTTCCATTTACATGCCTATTTACTCCATATAACCAGTTCTATTGACAAAGTATAATAAAACAAAACTGATCAGCATCAAAAACGTTCATAAATGTTATTCAATGTAGGGGAATTTAAAACCAAAATTGATAACGGTGCTTGAGAGTAAATGTGACTGTCCAGGTCTTAGTGAATGTGAAGTTTTGTCTCATCGAACTTCATTGTTTTTTTAAAATTTGTTTAAATTTTTAAAAAAGTAATCGCAAAGTTAACATACTACAAAGCAAAGAACTGACCTTAATAGCAATAACAGATTTATATACCGTTTCATAGTGTTTTGCAGCCCTCTCTAAGGAGTTTAGAGTCAGCATACTGTCCCCAACAATCTGGGTCCTACATTTACTGACTCAGCACAATCTATATTTCTAACATGAACTCTGTGCTTCATAAAGTTCTCAGATAGGCTTAGAAAATAAGTCAGTGGGTAATTCACTTTACCTTCTTATTGGTTCAGTAGGCCACTTAAATCATTTTGATTTTCATTTGTTCTTATAGTTCCAGAAGAGCTTATTAACTTAAAAATCTGCAGATCTTGATCAAAATTAAATGAAATTGAGCAATATTTAATTCAGCGAGTGAAGTGCTGGATGCAGTACTAACATAATGACTCACACTAACGCACGGCAGAAAAATAAATTATTTATCCCAAGCCAATATTATTTCATGCTTATTCTTTCAATTATATGCTTGGAACAAATACAAACCCATATTGTTTCCTACATTCCATCACACAAAATATATAAAAGATTTTAGGGTCCCCTCCTTCCCAGAACCAGGCTATTTTGTTTAACATGCACAACAAGAAACTTCGTTTAGAACCATTTTCTTCTATTTTTCTTCACCAGGCCTGGTCCATTAAATGTGAAGTTCCAAACTTATCCTGTTTTTTTAAAATTTCAAATGATCTATTAGTTTGGATTATCTTTAATCCAGATGGTTTTAAGGAAAACTCAAAAATAAAACATTCTGTTTAAAATAATCCACTATGAGAAATTCTCAAAATCAAAATACATAACAAACCTGAAGCCTCAATTAAAGAACTGCATGGAACAGATGCTAAAATGCCACATTTTCACTGAAGTTTGCAGTTGAGTGGATCATACACATATCAAAATTGGCAGTCCTTTTGAAGATATAAGACTCCAAATATAACTTTCACAAAGTAAGAGCTAAATGGGGTAAAGCTCTTATGGAGAACTATAAACAAGCAAAATACACAAATAACAACAGGATAAAATATATCAAATAAATAAATATCCTAATAATTTGGAATGATCATCTTAACTTCTAGCTAATCAAAACCCATTCTTATCTGCTCTACGTGAAATGTTTATTCACTATATTGGTGTAGAGAGCCTTCTTAAAAAACTGGTGTGTAAATATTTATGATGTATCTTGGGCTGATCATTATTTATTAATTTATGAAAATTAGTTATATGTATACTGGTCAGCATATATGCTTTCTTTTATGGAAAAGTGCCTAATGTTTTTGTTGTTGTTGTTAATGGAATAAAGGAACTTTTTTTTTTCAAAAATACATTTTAATATGAATAAAACCAATTGCCTAATTGCACTATTAAACTGAGTGTAAATTGACTAAATTTTAAATAATATGATATTCTTGTACAAATAATCCAGAAAGTCAGCACCAGTATTTGTAATAAATAATTTATTATAATAATTTATTATAAATAATAAATAATGGTCCCAAAGATCCTATCAAAGTAGGACCAGCAAAAATGAGAAAAAAATCAGTTTACCAATCTTCACTGCTATAACATAATTAAAACTACACTAACCATAAATATTCATACAAAAGTAACCTGATATCAGACTAAACCTTAGCAAAGTAGTCAAATCCTAACCCTACCTTACCCTGAATGCTTGAACAATTGATTCAAAAATTCCCCAACATACTTCTATCATAAAAGTTCAATTAAAACTAATGATTATGCCAAGCTAAATCACTACTAATGGAGATTTTGTAAATGTAAAAGTTAATCCAGCAGACAATTGTATTATAACATGAATATAAGACTATCACTAACCGTAACAACTCATCCAAAACATATCCTTCCCATTAAATACAATCTTGGACTTCAAGAAAACCCATCTAAGCTTAATTTTACATTAATGTCAATGTTGACATTAATGTAAAATTAAGCTTAGTAAATTGTAATGTCAATTTACACTAAAGGTTACCTTAGTGTTCTTACTTTAAAATTTACCTTGGCAAAGAATCATGAAGATTAGAATAGAATAGAATAGAATAGAATAGAATAGAATAGAATAGAATAGAATAGAATAGAATAGAATAGAATATGTTTATTGGCCAAGTATGATTGGACACACAAGGGATTTGTCTTGGTGTAAATACTCTCAGTATACATAAAGAAAAGGTACATTCGTTAAGAATCAAGAATCATAAGGTACATCACTTAATAATAGTCATAGGGTACAATAAACAATCAAATCATACTAGGAAACAGTCAATATAAATCGTAAAGATACAAGCGACAAAGTTACCTTCATCAATAAGATTAATAACAACTCAAGTAATTTCTACCAATATAACACAAATGTAGTTCCACTGCTATTGAAAATTTATTGAAAAGCATATAATTGCATTAAATGTAAGTACAGACTTTATGGGAGCCCATCATAATCCAAATTGCACTCTAATGCCAATATAATTTTTGTACCTTAAAAGATATGTAAGCAGATCACCCTCACATAAAATAAAGATCAACACTATATGGGTATCTAAAAACTCATTCTAAAGGTAATTATTGAAACAAATGTAACCAGAACTCAAGGAAACCTAGCTCTAATTATATCAATAAAATAATTACCCTAAGCGTTACCCAACACAATAGATTAAACAATTTAGTCTAAAATTACCCCAAACTTTAGCAAGATTAGTTTTTCTTACCAAAACTAGCCTGTTTTCTCCATGTCATATATGTGGGTATATGCATATTTTTGTATTTATTTATTATTTGTGTAATGCATATTGGAGGTGGTGATCCTTTGATAGCTGTATGCAATGAAATTTTATTTTAATGTATGCTGATTAGTGTACTTTCAAATTAATAATAAAGTTAGTCTAAGTGTCAAACTACACAACTGAAGTAACCTTACCATTGAAACATATTGCAAGAGATGGATACCCCTAGATTATCATTTTGTAGATGTGTGTATGTGAACTGCTATCTCTGCTTTATTCATACAATTTGAATGTACGCAGGTGATATTTAAAAGACCATTCAAGATCCAGAATACAGTAGTACATATGGCATGATCATACATCAATTCATGGGAATCGCTGGGCTATTCTGGGAGTTGAAGCCCAGACATCCTAAAAGTTACCGAGTTTGAGAAACACTAATGTGGTTAATGCACCAAGTCGGAAGCGAAAGACTCTGTGACTTCTTAGGTGCAAAGGAAACTGACACTCACTGTCTCTCAATCCCAGGAAGGAAGCAATATAGACTCGAAAGCACACCAAGTCACGAAGAAAGGGGGGGGGCACGCCAGAAATACAGCCAAACCGTTCAATGAAACTTATTACTCAGAAGCACACAGCCTCGCTTTAGGTACATCATGAGAAGCTCAGAGCTGCACATGTGAACTCCATCCCTACTCTTTTCCTTTGCCATGTGTCCCACCGCGCTTAGCAGCAGCCCCCCAAACGCTCCATTTCCGGGCCAAGCTGCTCTTAGTGCTATCTATGAGCTTTCCAAAATTCGCTGTGCACCGATCCCCTTTGCGCGCATGCGTAGAACGGAACAGCCCTTGGAAGGACCTGGCCCGCCACGCATCTTTTCTCCTCATAAGCACATGGGAATGAGATGCTGAGTGTGTTTGGGACGGAAGGATTAAGCAACAGTACAAAAGCTTTACCTTTCTATCGCCCGCACGGTATAGCTAATGAGTGGCCTCCCCAGCATTGGACAAAACTGCTTCGGGGTGCTGCCACCCAGTCTTTCCCCGCTTCCTCCGGCAGGTAGTACCGCTGCTACCGATACTGGCGGTGATCGCCGGCAGAGTCCGATCTCCCCTGCCTCTTCTAACTCAGCCGTTTTTCCGACTCCAGCCCCCGGCGGCTCCATTATGTGCTTCTAGCTCAGAAACGACTTGCAGCAAGCTGTGCTCAATTGCTTTGCCTTGGATTTGAAACGCAGCTTTTCTGTGAGTCGGAAGAGTCGCCGGTTTTAATCACCCCACATTCTCATGGGACAATTGATTTTAGTCTCCATTTTTAAATCGTTTCTTTAAAGCTTTGCTGGCCCTTTAAAGGACCTTTCGGAAGTGGAAGGGAAGCCGAAGAACGGGCGGAAGAGAAGGGGGGAACTGTTTTACCCACTGCGCACGCGTTGCGCTTCCTACTCAGATAGAAAGCCATTGATTGGAGAAACAAAAGCTTCTAGTCTCGCTGCTGGGTTAAGACTGTGGCTGCTTTCTATCTGGTTGGATTATGATGTGGCTTTCCAATGTTTTTATTCATGCATATATAGTGTATTGGCTAGAAAAAGGCTTTTTAAAAACCCAATAGGTTCAAAGAGATTCCCATTCTGGCCTTTTGTCTCAAAATCTTATCTTAAATATTAACTGTTGTATTCTTTACCATGAGGTATACGTTAAAGCATGCTTTCTATAAATATAGATGAAAGTAATTTATACTGGTGGCTACATGTTTAGGATTTATTCTCCTGAGAATGCTTGATATCTTCTTGAAAGCTTAAGAATGCTGACACCCACTTTAGAATATAATGCTTTGTATGCTTTCTATTTTTCTTAATTAAAATATTAAAATATAGCACTCCAGGGGGTTAATGTCATGGCCTAGAAGATCATTGGTTGCCCTCTCCCCTCTTTGGAAGAACTTTATAGCTCCCGCTGCCTTAAGAAAGTTCAAAACATTCTCAAAGATCCATCTCATCCTGGGAACCCTTTTTTTTAACTATTACCATCTGGCAGACATACAGAATAATAAAAACAAGGACAAATAGGCTGAAAAACAGCTTCTATCCCAGGGCAGTAGCTCTTTTGAATTCTACTGTATAGTGCAGTGTTGGTGCGGTGTCAGGGTTTTTCCGATTCAATGTGTGGAAGGTGAAGGATGTGTGTTTGTGTTTATTTTCATGGTCATGATGTACAGTGTAGATGGTGCAAATAAAGTAAACTAAACTAAACAAAATTTTGAAAAATTAAAAATGAGTAATGCAGATTCTGATGGGCACCATCTGTTGGTAGATTGGTGCCCGTGATACCATGTTGTTAAACTTAGTATTTCCTCAGAATTTGGGGGACATTGTTTTGAGAACAGGGAGTACTTCTAAAGCACTCCATATGCCCACTTTCAAGTTTTGCAGTTTTTTTTCCTCTGGAAATACCATATTTATAAGCTGGCATCCTTATATATAGATCTTTATTGTGGTTAGTTGCGAAGTCATGTCCAACGCATCGCGACCCCATGGACAATGTTCCTCCAAGCCTTCCTGTCCTCTACCATTCCCTGGAATCCATTTAAGTTCACGCCAACTGCTTCAATGACTCCATCCAGCCACCTCATTTTATACCGTCCCTTTCTTCTTTTGCCTATAGATCTTTACATTGTTTATAAGCAGCTGTCTATATTTTAGAAATCATGGTAGAATTTAGGCATGAAAGCTGGATGACTTTGGGCCAGTTACTTTCTGTCAGCCTATAACATCAGGCTCAGTCAACAAGTCTCTTGGTGAATTCTTGCCACAACTAATGGATCAGCATTTATACCTGTAGGAAAAACGCTAAGAACAAAAAATAAATAAAAGGTGAAGGAAGGAATTTTAAAAGAGAGGTTTTTTTAAGTACTTCAGTGATAACCATGAGCAAGCCTTGGTGAATGTAACTACATAATTTCTTGGAGACATTTTGAAAATATTTAGATGTTGAAAGAGATATGTGTGGAAGAAGCCAGGTATAATATATGTCTACTTCGTTGAACATAATTTATTCTAGCAAAGGAAAAATGTAATTTACATACTGACAAAAAATTGTATGTCAAATGTCAAAATGTATGTCAAAATATATGACAACAAAAGTGAAAGGTTAAAAAAATGATAAATTACTATAACAATTCTTATTAAATAACATCATGAAATTAGGTAATTAATATTGATTGTTTTTGTGAATTCCTGATTTATGATAAACTTAAGATAGCATCCAGTTAGAAAAGCATGAATTTTACTAAATTCCTCTGATTGTAAGCAGAACAAATCTCCTTGCCAGTAATTGGTAAAATATGTAGCAGTTTTTACTCAATGAGCAAAATACCATTAATTTTCCAAAGATACAATATAAAAATAAATATTAAAGCTTTTTTTCCAAGCTTATTTAAACTTTCTGCAGGCTACTTCTGCTGACTGCTGGGTGCCAGCAGTTCATCTGTTCGATTCTCACCAGCTGAAGATTGACTCAGCCTTCCATCCTTCCGAGGTCGGTAATATGACGTCCCAGGTTGTTGTGGACAATATGCTGACTCTGTAAAGAGGGCTGTACTGTGGAGCAATATATAAGTGCTGTTGCTATTAATTAATATACCATTTGTTTCAAAGCTCTCCTCCAGAACTGGTACTTTCCATTTCTTCAAACAGCATTGTAATTAGGGATTTTTTTCAAAACAAATTTGCAATTTAGTTTTCTGAATTATTATAAAATACTGGTTCACATTGAGGGGACATATTGAATGATATTGCAGTTTGGTTTATATTATGTGTGAATACTTCCCCATTTTTGTCACCTGTGTTTTTTTAATTCTCTTTTTCTTTCATTTCTTCCTTCCCCCTTTTTATTTTTTTTTTCTTCCTAGCATTTTTTTCCTCAAGCACAAGCTCCAAATGTTGGCTATGGCTATGATACAGTTTAGATAAATAATATTAACAAATATAGATATATTTGCTAAATATAGATTAACTTACCAAATCAGTCTCTGATATCCTATGACTCCTAAGAATTACTTAGGCAAGATGAGTGGTGTTGAAATTTAATAAGAAAATAAGATGTTTTATTTCTGATTAATAGCTAGATTTGTGACCAAGCAACCATCCCAGCGAATGAATTTTATATAGCTCTAGTTCATTTACCACCACAGTAAATCCACATATATATAGCTGTATGTGGATTTTTTTTAAAGAATAAAATTGTACCTTGTATCATGTACATTACCATCATTGGTAGATTGTATTCTATTTTTTTTAATCAACCTTTCTCCAGACAGAACAAAGGGGTATGGAAAAAGGGGTTTGTAAACTGCAGAAATATTTGCATTGTCATCTTTGTTTGTTTTGGGAATAATCCTTTTATTCATAATAATGAGTTCTCTATGTGTTTTCTTACAGTCTCCAATCATATTCAGTAGATATTTTGTATGGCAAATATTGTTGAAGTGTTATGACCGTTAAGAGACTCAAAGGCCCAAAATGAACATAACATTATCTTTAGAAGAAAAGGAATTGTTTTAGATATAAGTTTTAGCATTCAATTATGCTTTCTCAATTTTGGGACATCCAGATAACTATGCCTTAATTTGTCAACTTTCTGTGTTGTTCTGTCACTTTCATATATTTAATACCAGAAAACATTTCTATTAAAGGGGGAAAACAGTAACTCTATCGGGGACATCAAGACAGTCGCTGTAATCAAACCCCCATCCCAGCATGCCTTTCCCCCAAAAAAGGCTTCGGTGCACTGTTATAGTTGCTAACTTTGATTTTTACGTATCCCTGTCCCATGCAGATATCTCCCATGCAGACATCTTGATACGCTGGAAGTATCAAAACATAAATAGTTGCTGTACAAATATAAACTATGATCTACAATAATATAGTAATGCAAGCAAGGACAGTAGAAAAAACAAAAGCTGTTCTACACATTATTATTACAGTGAATAATAATGGAGCTTTCTGATAATATATTTTAATACTATGCTTACTGCAAAGTTTGAATCAAATTAATTGTAGATTAGGCCACAAATTATGGTACAAGAAAACCTGGGCAAATGATATACACGGTTGTAGGTATACATAAATTTTAACTCTAAATTTTAAGGCTTAAGGCATTCTTGGGCTAAATCTTTCCTTAGCTTAGAAATGTTGTAATATCTAAACTACATAGGTCCTAATTACACCAAGTTCTACATTGATGTGGTGGCAGTGCTTTTTAAAGTAAAAATTTGCAGTAGCATTTGCAAGTATCTCAGGATGCACCACACCTAAGGCAGGGTTCAACTTATGACTTTTGACAGATAAGGGAATAATTTGTGAAACAATTTATATGTACTTCTTATATCTGGTATCTGTAAGCACTTACAATTCAGTGCTATAAATCCAGATTTATAGTGCAAAATATGCATGCATTCAATATGTATAGGTATCCCCAATTGCATTGTACATTTCACAATGTAATCATCCAAATTCTTGATATTCTTTGCTTTTCATTTTAAAAACTTGAAAGTGAGAAGCATAAAAGCATTTTAATAACAATGAAAGCTATACTGCCTTGTGTTCCATCTCTTTTTATTTTGAAAATATGTTAATAACAAATTGAGAGCAGGATTGAAGCAGGCACATTTATAAAATGCTATTTGTACATGGCATTATGTATTTTGTTCACAGAAAATATAATTTTGTATTTATATATAAATAGGAAATATCTTTGAATTTAGGAAGGAAAAAAAGATGGGTAATACATTCCTATTGTACTTTTTTTCCTCAAAGCTAAGATCCACTGTGTTTCATGGAGTTTATTGTTCACAGAGTTGGGTAGCAAATAAATTATGGATGGATGGATGAATGACTCCCTGGTAAGTCTGCATAGAATCATGGCTGCTTACTGATGTAATGAAGATGGTTGGGCTACAAAGCAAAGTAGAAATACTAAATTATTTGAAAAGTTGGCTGCCTTTCAGGAAAACACTCAGGCAGGTTTAGTTGCAAGGGTAATGCCGAAGCAAAAGGAACAAGCCCCGTGACAGAATGTCTGCCTGGCTCATAAATCTGCAGACAAATTTAAGTTTTAACCTGAAGCTACATTTATAAGTATGTCAGTAAAATTAAAATCAAAGCTTTCTTGCCTGGCCTGCAGGAAAGGAAATGCATCATGAAAAGAGAATGTTTCTCAGCACTTACCAATTCTTCTGAGTTCTTGAAACCTTCCAAGTTAGCACATTAGGCACAAAAATTCCAGAGTGGAATGTGTTGAACTCACACATAATTAATATGGCACTCTTTAAGGAAGGATGCAAAGATCAAATTTAAAGAAATGATAGTTATTTATGAAGCTGAAACGTTTTAGGTATTTCCAAGGGCATTATTTTAAAAGTCAGCATTATTCTACTACCTGTACTGAACTTGATTTGACATTTCAAGATTGCTAGATCATTGAAAATGAAGGAATTTTAGATGTTGCAATTTTTGTCAGTATGATTATTATTATTTTAAGGAAACAGAACAGAAGAAAACAAAACTCCTAATTTTTGTTGCAACAAAATACCGTGAAAATAGTGTTTTAAATGAATAATATTTTCATACCTTCCTAATGTATCTGTTCAAATAACTGTATATTTGTATTTCATGGTGCTATCAAATTAACTTCTGTACCACAGGAGAATACATTTCTTTATTTTTTTTCAATACTTATCAGAGGACATTTTTATCAACAGTTTACTAATAGGAATAAGCTTGTTCTTTCAGCTTTATTTTCTAATTTCATTTTAATATGGATTTTTAACCAGAGTAATTATTGCTTTCTTTAAATGTAACTAATACTTTTCAATATACATTTTCTATTTTTAAACTGCACAGCAGCCTTATCATGACTCTTTATCTATAACTGCAGATAGATGTTAACATTATGAAACCATACACCCACCCATTCAAATATTCCAGATATTTTATTCAGCAAATGAAAAATGTATCAGATGAAAGCTATTATTTTACAGTAGATAATATAGTTAATACATCAACATGTCTTTTTAAATGCTTTTTATACTTTAATCAGAATATAGCTGAGGTTCAGAAGGTAAAGTAACTAATTCTTGACATAAATAATTCTGGTACTGCGCCAAATTTAGAGGTCAAGCACAAGATTAAATCAAGAACAGAAATGCTATGTTGGATCCAGACTATGCAAGTGAACAAGAGATGCCCTTTGAGATATTTAATCACAACTTATTCACCTTTCTTTTTCACTATTGCTCATTTCCTATTCCTAACACAATATGGGGATCTTTCATGTGACGTAGTATCTATCTTCAAACAATGTGATTGACCTAGTGTAATAATCCAAATAGATATACTCTCTATATATCAGTAGGTATACATGACTTGGTGAAATGGGGATTGCTTGAAGGTTATCATTTTTTGCTACTTTTTCCCCAATATTATGTAGGAGGAAATTACAACACCACTACCAATAGTAGAGTTGGTACTGTGAGAATAACAGGGACTGTGAGAATAACCTTGGAAAGTAGGATAAGAAGGAGCCTCTATCTCAGGAGTCGCTAACCTTTTGGACCTCAGGGACCACCAAACTCATAATTTTAAATCCTGCGGACCAGAGACCCTGGGAAAATCCCCCCAAAAAGCCTGCAAGAAAATTCCCCACCTCATTTTCTTACTGATCAATCATTTTTTATTTGGGATCGCAGGATACGGTCTCCAGCTCTGTTCTCAGGGAGGGAAGGAAAGAGAGAGAGAAAGAGAAAGACTTTTGGCTTCATGCAAGGAAAGCAGCAGAGGCAGCAAAAGTCTCCCCCAAACTCCACCAGAAATGAGTCTTTGTGAGACTTGTTGCGCTGGTGCAGTTTCTTGGAGCAGGATGACTTGCAGGATCCCAAAGAGTCATTTCTGGTGGAGTTTGGGGGGAAAGAAAGAAAGACTTTTGCTGCTTTCCTTGCATGCAGCCAAAAGCAGAAGAAGAAAGAAACGGAAAGAAGCTGCCCAGTGACCAGGCCAGGCACGTGGGGCAAGTGGGGCAAGTTCTCCCCCTCCGCCCTTTTCCCCCTCCCCTCACTACCTCACGTTCGCAATGCAAGCGACACAAGCCTTGTGTTCCTGCGCAGCCTGGATTAATTGCTTTGGGGGGTACTTTGGGGTGACATTTCTCTGCAGACCATCAAATTTTCTCACGGACCATCAGTGGTCCCCGGCCCACTGGTTGGCGACCACTGCTCTGGCTAGACTATAATTAGGCCAAAGATATGTGAGCTCACAGGAAAAAATGGGGTATAGAAATCATCTCGGAAGAGATCCTATCTAGTTCTCTGAAAACAAAGGGAAGGAAGAAGAAAAATGCTTTCATATTTCCAGGACTCCATTATTGTAACCTTACAATGAAGGTTTTGTTAATATTCATGAATTTAACTACCACAAAAAGCTCATTATAGTCAGGGTCTGATAAACAGAGATTATCTATCATATTCTCTCGATACAAGAAATTGTAGCTATTACTTTATTTACGAAAGGAAAAGCTCAACAAAACACTGGGCAGAAATAAATAATAAATGGCTTGAAATATTATTTACAAACTTTTACCTATTAAAAATTACATAACTTTTTTGAAGTCAAAGCAATTGACTGGATATTTTTTATACTAAACACTATTGCCAGATTCTAATTCAAGGACATATTTTAGCCAATTACTTTTATTTTTTAAATTTTATTTGGAAAATTAAGGTAAACACAAATTCAAAAAACATTAATTTACAGGTTTTTTGAAAACAGTATTTCTAGACAATCTCTGATACATTTTAAGAATGGTCCATATAAATAGCAGTTAAATGTAATCTATTAAAAGTGGGATTACAGGTAGTGTACAACCTATGACCACAATTGAGCCTAAAATTTTCATTTGTTAAGTGAATTTTGCTCCCATTTTACAATCTTTCTTGCCAGAGTTCTTAAGTGAATCATGCAGTTCTTAATTTAGTAACACAATTGTTAAGTATATTTAACTTCCCCCTGCTTTTGCTCATCAGTTTGCATAAGGTGATCACATTACCTTGAGACATTGCAAACGTAAGTATATGCCAGTTGCAAGCATATGAGTTTTGATTATGTAACCATGGGGGTGCTTCAACAGTCATAAGTGTGAAAACCAGTAATAACTACCATAATTTTTTTTTGCAATTGTAATTTTGTTTACTAAATGGTTGTAAGGTGAGAACTATCTGTACAGAGAAATAATTGTTTAAGATACAAGTCATTTTGGTAATATTTATACTAAGATGCACAACTGTTTTGCAGCTGTGGAAATGACAGTGTTCCTTTTTAAAAATTTAGAGTATTCATGAATCTTAGTGTATGTGGTGAATGTTGCAAAAAATGTATTGGAATAAACATTGCTGTTTTTTTGTAGTAAAGCTGAGGGGAATAAAAATGACTATGTTGGTCATACCCAAGAATTTGAACAAAGAATCCAAGAAAATGATCAGTCTTTCTCTTGACTCTATCTATCTCTAAACCTGATACCAGGACAAAATAGTTTTATTTTTAAACAGGAATATTTGAGTTCAGTTCCAGTGAGGTACAAATACAATAGTGAACATCAGATTTAAGACCATGCAATCATTCCATGAATCATTTCAATTAATTTGCTGTTATGCCAATGACAGCACAATTGTCTTTCATATATGTTCGGATATATATCTGGAAGGCCACTGAAGTAGCTCCCTTAATGAATTTTCCCTACCATTGAGGATATCATCTCAAAAAAAGACTGTGGAGTGAACTTTCAATATAGTTTTCTCTGTTGGGCAATGCTCATTTTTCATATTACTTAAGTCTCCTGATGTAGAAATGATGCAAGAAAAATTATTGCCAGGTCATTGTATGAATTAACTAATTGGTTACCTAGCTCAATACATTCGCTTTGCATTACCAGAAAGTGTATTTTGCATGTGCTCTGTTACTATAGTATATACCATACTATCATACCACTTATTTTATTACACCAAAGAAAATGAAAGGCATTGTTATTGGAATTTTTAATTAAAATGGAAGAAATTGACAAGTCAATATTTGGACTGCAAAAATGTATTTTACAAAATATTTACAAAACATTTTAAAATTTCTTATTTGAACTGTGTTTCTTTGTAAAGAAAAAATATAAAGATTAAAATATCTATTTACATTATCTACAAATATATATTCTAATTTGGTAACAAATCATAGGAAAATATTTTGCTGCTCTAAAGAATGGTAAAGATATCAGACAGCCATCTTAAAAAATAGAAAGCATATTAAAATTCATTAAATAATTACAATGTCAAATAAATACATTTTATTCAAATTTCATTTTTTTCCTGCTTTATTTTTTTTCTTTTTGTTGAGCAATTTGTTCGTATAGTTGTATTATGGGGAGAAATAATCCCAACAAACTGACATCTTGTTTAAAATAAATGTTTTAATTTCACTCTAATGAATCTAATTAAAACACTTATTTTAAATAAGATATCTTTGCTGCCAAGAAAATGTGTGATCTGAAAAGTGCCCCTGAAAAATTCAGAATAGCTGCTGTCTGCAGTATAAAATATTTGACTTCCCATGGCAATAATATTCATTTGCTTTATTTAGATATGCATATATAAACTGTTGGCTTATAGGCCAGCTTTAAAATATGAAGGTCACCTCTAAAAAATCCTTCAGAAAAGAATGCCCTTCTGAGTTTGGTCAAAGCCACAAATGTATATACCCACTGAAGAAGCAACCACAACATCAGAGGGCTTTTGTTAGGTAGTGACATCTGTAAAACAGAGAGTCATTAATAAGGGTTTTTGTGTATGTATGTATGTATATATGTATGTGTGTGCCCGCATACACATATACACACACGAACATGCACTCTCCACATACATTAAGTTCTAACTTGGAGATTGCATTGTGGTTTTACTGTTCTTTTTTCTTTCTTTATGATGTTGGTTTGGCTTGGCTTGAGTTGCTCCTTCGAAGTTATGGCTTGATTCATTGTGTTGTCTTGTGTATCGTTTACACTTACAAGCTGTAACCACAGTTACTTTGTAGGTTCTGGTGCTTCCATCTTGACACTGCAGCTGAATCCTCTGGGTGCGAGTTTTGTCATTGACACATCTCCATTCCTGTGAGCTTCTTCTGCTCCAGTACTTGGATCCATAACCTCCCCCAATCCAGTTAGGTAGCACTGGCAAAGGAAGGCATTCCCCAGCACATACTAACTCTTTCAAAGGGTTTATGCTAGTACATTGACCATCTGAAATATATTTTGTTGATCTCAATTCCCTACAGCCAACTTGAACTCGACCTGTGAAAAACAAAACAAATCCTTATTTAAAGTTTTGTATCAGAGATAGCAACAGACAAGAGTATTCAATGTTTTTGAAGGTCATCCATATTGCATCACAGTTACACCCTAGATTACTATGTAGATTTCAGAAGGTTCATATCAGTTCCACTAACAATGTCTTTATCCTGTTTTCTTCTTAATCATTCTTATTGCAAGATACTTCAGTTACAAAAGAATTTAGAGCATAATCTATGATTTCTCACATATCACATTGCATACATATTGGATAGCTATGCTGTACCTTCAGTATCATTTTTCTATAGAAAAGAATTCAAACTGGATAGAGAACATAAATCACCCATTTCATATTACGCTATATTTTGGAAGAATGGTAGGGTGGATAAGGATGCTAATTCCAATCTTATTACAATCAATACGTATTTCTGAATGTCATTGATAGATGTGCATAATCATGTTTTCCTTATATATGATATATGTCTATTACATTTTGGTGTCTTCTGGGTATGCATTTATCAAATACTTGAAATTTGAACCCCATCTTATCATGGTGGAGCATACTAGGGCAGAGTATACTTTAATAACCCAATAAAGCTCAGGTTTGGAAAATTGGATTTCTGAGACTGGAGGAAACCATCCCACAGAAACAATGTATAAATATATAGTTTTCTCCCAAGCTAAGGAAATTGCTGTTAGTACTGCTTTAGCTACTGATGCTATCAGAAATAACTTCATGTCGTAAGATTCCCTTTCATCTGCTTGCTTTTCATATAAAATACTCCTGGATCTCAGTTCAAGCTGGATTTTCTCCAAGATATTAGTTTTAAATTTTCTGTGAGCTTACCCTGAACGTCAGTTTAGTTTAATACATTGTATTGAGATGAATCTAATCATAATAATTAAAAGCTTGCATGTCACCTATAAACTTGATTCTATTGAGGACAATTTTTACAATTCAATATTCTTCAAACATGTTCTCAGTTAATATATAGAGTTTTCTTTGGAGTGCAGGATTACACTATGGCTTGCAATTGTTTCTCTTAAAAACTGAGTACCCCTGCACAACCTGAGGCAATGTTATTTCATTTTTAAAAGCAACTGACATTGTACCAAGGTGCTGAAATAGCAGCAAATGCAAACATGTTTCTGCCTGCTTCCCTCTATGTATATCCTCATAGAAACAAGCCTGGTCCTTATTTTCATAATTATCTCTTTGAAAGGAACGCACACCATGAATTTCATCACACATCTTTCAGTCTTACATATTCTTAAAATAAATGTTATCATGGAAACAATGTTTTGTGATTATGATATGAACTTTCCTGATGTATTGAACTACAACCTAAATTCCTGGATATGACATTCTAGGATGTTTATGTTTATATGTGAGGGGGAAAAATAAAAATGCAAAACTTATTTTTAGAACTTGTTGAGATTGAGTCCTTATGTAATTAGATTCTTCTATCAATGTCATTCCTTGAGAATCAGCATGGGTTTTTTGAGGTACATTCAGTGTGGAAGTTCTATGTGAAACCTACTGAAATAATACTTAGATATGCACTGGATTTAAATAAAGTGCCAACATGACTTTACTGGGTTTAACATTTTTCTCTTGAGCTAGAGAGGGATGTTCTACCACTGGACAAAATGTGGCATCAAATACAGTAAGTAGTTTTCAAGAAGATACCAACTTGACTGTTTCCAGAGAACTTCTGCACACTAACTCCTACCTGAAGAATTCTGCTCCTCCACTGTTCTTTTGAATTTCTGCCTGCATGATAAGCTTTCCTAGTATTTTTTTTTTCATTCTTGGGACAGTTTACTGTCAGTGAATAACTAATAAGTAATCTTGCATTGATATGATAGTTCCTGTATCTCTCAGTCACCTTTTCTTAAAGTAATTAAGCCTTTCTGTCATTGAAAAATGAAACCATTTCCTTTAAAGATCAAGTGTTCATAGCATGTTTCTTTTACATTTTTTTAGAACTATGATGAGGCTCAAGTCAGACAAAAGAATTTCTGGTTGCTTATACTTCTCTCCTGGCAAAAAAAAAAAAAGCAAAAAAAAATGTGCTGAGCCTTGGCAGGTAGAGAGAAAACACTTAGCTGCCGAAAGTTGTTTGACGATGGACAGCTATATAAAATACATACATACATATTTAAAGCTTGGAGCCAAGATGTTTGCACACCTGATTGTTTACACATCCAAATAAGTGTTTATCAACTCTGGCAAATTTAAGTAGGCTGCGGGATTCTGGGAGTTGAAGATCAAACATCTTAAAGTCGCTTAAGTCGACAAGGACACAGGACTCATTGATGCAAATGCTAAATCAGGATTTAAAGAATAATAATAAAGGGGAGGGCAATAGAACAAAACCAAAACCCTGTGTCTGAAGGTAAATGTTAGCTTTATGAAGAAACTGGAGACATACTTGTTTCAAAAAGTGTGTGGTTAGCAAAAAGCGCCCAGCAGTTATATTTACATACAAACAAACTATGGATGTACACTAGTCTGAAGCTACCCCTAATGCTTAGGTTTTGGGAAACGCAGAGTTAACCTTGAATAAAGCTATTTTCTCAGTGTGGCACGACTGATCTCTCTTGGGTCTCACGGGAGAACAGAAACAAAGGCAAAACGCTTGTACCTATCGCTAAACTGACACTCAGTCTGCCTTACGAGGGAAATCAGAAAAGATCGTGCTTATTCTTCACTCAGGATCTTAGTATATAGGCCTGGAACATCCCTGCTTTTAAAAAGGAAAGATGCTACGTCTGAATGCATAATACTTACTGCTCTGATCGAATCCTGCATGCCTGCCTCCGTGCCTCGCTTGATTCATGGTGTTGTTGTGGCTGCCGGCTGGGACAGTTTTGACAACGTGGGTATAAAGGACCTCGGTTGCATCGTTTTTGAATGCCACGCAGCTCTTCAGGAGCGCGCAAGCCAGCAGAAAACTCGGGAGGTGCAGAGCGGCAGCAAGCATGGCCAGAGCAGTCGCAGAGACCTCTTGGAATGTGAGCGCTTCTCTGCTTCTGCGGCCACTTCTTCTCCAAGTGTCGCCCAATGCCTGCGGAGCGCCTTTATATAGTCCCAGGGGTTTGGCGGTCGTTCAGATGTGAAGTTTCAGATGACAGCACCGCTCAGGCGAGGGTGGGATGCCCTGGAACTGCAGTGAGATCCGCTTTACCAAAAGAAGCCTGAGGGGGTGTAGGAAGAGGAGAAGTAGGAGGGAGCAAGCCAGCCGCGACCTCCCGCGGGAACCTTGGCTGGAAGTAAAGCGGCGATGACTTCTTTTTGCCCTGGGCAGCAGCAATGCCCGCCCAGCTTTGCCTTAGAGCGGGGGAGGCATCATTTTGTCTGATTGGAACTCCTTTAACGCCGAGCTGCTCTGCAAGCAAAGAGGATGGAGAGTTACCTGGGAATAGTTAGACAGAGCTGTACTATAAAGTTTTTACAAGAGAGAGAGAAGGGAGGGGGGGTACTAAGGAAATATCCCTGCCTTCTTTTGAGCCCCATTTCTTCCTGCTACCTCAGTGGGGTTTTTTTTTCCTTCTCTTTTTATTTCTTCTGGGCTTTTTCCTGTGAGCACAGAGGGAATTGCAGAGATTTACAGCTCGCTCCTCTGACCAATTTAAGGAATGCCTTGAGAAAGATGTTAATAATGCAGCTTTGATCAACACATCATTCTGGCAGCAATATTTGTGTTGGGAAACTTCTTTTAAGATGCAGAATATCAGTGTGCTTCTCCTGCTGAGCTTGCCTCCATTCTGCAACTTTGGCAGTCTAAGAAACTTTCTCTGAAATAAAGTGTGATATTCAGAGTAGCTGCTGCCTGACTTCAGGCTTTAAAAGTGTGAACCACTTTTGCAGATATGAGGAGCATTGCAAAATAGTTTTAATAGCCATAAGCTGCTTAACAAAGGAAATGAAATTATTTTAGGTAGTGGACTTATAGTTATTTTAGCTAGTAGAATTATAATATTAATATCAGAAACATTTCCTTTGCTATCAGTTAATTTCATTACAATAGCAGTGTATTTTCGTATTTGTGCAATTCCGCAAATAAAGTTTCTGACACATCCCATGCTAAACATCCCATATATTGACACACAATATGTCTATATCATAACTACTATATGTCTACACCAATTCTTTTTCTCGTTTTTTTCCATCCAAGATCCAGTACATGTTGGGAATGGCATTTACTATTGACTTAGATAAAGTTCTTAACTAACCTTCCCACAGTACTTTCCAGGTAAGTCCTCATTACAGTTGTAATTTCAGATGTCAAAATGGAATAACATCTTCAAAGCAAATATGCAGACTTGCAGATACCCTAATCTGGGAGTCCTGCTTGCAAGTATAACTGCTTGCAGGAAGGCAGCCCAAGCCAATATTTGAACCAGCACATTTTAATGTATATTTCAAATACACAATGAGAATAAAGGACAGAAAACTCAGCTTGTGGGCACACTTTCTTCTTCCACAAAGAAGGAAGCTGATTTTTGATATAATTGTCCATGCTGATCAGTCCTCAATCTGGTCCTTTAAATCTTCCAATAGTGGAGTCATCACCACTGTATTCAAAGGACAGTGTTCTGTTGTGGGTTTTTTTTAATTTTCTCAGTTTAAACAGCAAAAAATGCCAATGCCCTTGCTGTCAAATTGTTCCCAATTCTGCTTCAATGTATTTGCATCAAAATTAGGGATTCTCCTTTAAAGTCTGTGAGTCACAATTCATAGCTACTAAGTCGACAGGTGGATTTTCTCCGGTGATGGTCCACCTGTCGACTTAGTAAAGAATTTATTTTTCTGTGTACAATAAAAATGGATTTCAAGGAAACAAATATAAGTATTGATGTACTTATGACATATATTAATTTCAATATAGAATATTAATATCAGCTGCTGAAGAACTTGAGGAGATATAGCAAAATTGTGGTCATCTTAGATGATGAAGTTGGCCACTGTATAAATGGAACATTAGACATGATAGATCTTTGATTTAATCCTTCAAAGTTCTTATGTTCCAAGACATTGATGGCTCAGTCTGGATTAAGACCATATAATGTGGAAAAGAGCTACAACATTTTACATTCAAGTAGGGTCAAGGTTGGAATTATCCACACAGACATAGCAGCATTCATGTGTGGAGTTTATGAGAATTGAAGCCCTAGGTATCTGGAGGGCACATTTAAGAAACACTGGCCTCATACCTGCAAGGTATCAGTTGTATTTCGTTGACCTACTTTTGCCTTAAGTGCTCAATATTCACTGCACCATTAGTATTTTAGTGAACCAACAGTGCTTATGTTGCTGACAATCACATTACTCACATCAAGCAAGAGCAAAATGTTGCTTGGATGAAGAGGTTTGAGAGAGAGGGATAACAGGAGCATTGAAACAGCAGAACCTAGAAATCTTGTCAGTCAATAAATAGGGGAAGCTCATTACCAGCCTGTCTTATAGCTGGCCACACCCTTTGCTGGAATAGCAAGAATGTTACAGGGTGGAACAGAGATGCATTAGCAGTGCTTTTGTGTAGAAAGGCTTGATCAGTATTTGGCTGTCTTGTGTCTAGCTACAGCCAGACTATCAGTTCTCTGCTTTAAAACACTTCCAGTTTTACACACACACACACACACACACACACACTCAGATGTGATGAAATCTATTTTGATTCTAAAATGGCACATCACAAAATAAAGCTTTCTTACACTGAAGAAAAAGACACTGCTTCTGTGGAAGGGGATGTGCTTCAATATTTTCTGCACATTCAGTAAGGATTAACATCAATGGTTCATGGAAGTGAATGTCTTCTGTGTAATAAATAGTACAACTCTAGATTGTAGATTTCTTAATGCTTTGGTCTTGTCTCCCGAATGCAACTGGGAATTGCCTATTGTTTGTTTTTTCTTTTGGAAACAGAGCTGTATTCATGCACAATTTGGTGAATCGTTCCAGTTCCTTCCCTTTCTTTCATCACCAGTATGTTTAGTTACCTGTTTAGGATCTAGGTATCTAAATATCAGTGTTGGAACGCAGCACAATGCAGCTTCAGCATTGTTCCTTTCCCACACATCCAAGGACAAAACTAATCATCAAATCTGCTGAAGGATCATAGTAATTTATATGGATGCTCCTTGTTCTGGCAAGTGAATGAGATGATACTGATATATTCAAGTTCTACTATTGTTTTGGCAGGTCTGCATAGGAAGAAGTTAGAGAGGAAAACAATTTTCCTTGGCAGGACTCCTACATCTTACAATTGCTTCAGCTTTTCAGCAAGTTAAACTGAATTGGTTTTAAGCCTCTGTTCTTGCTGTTTTCATTGGCTTTTAATGTGTTTTTAATAACTAGAATGCTTTTATTTATTTGTTACAATACCCAAGCACAATTTTTGGTTTTACTATTATTTCACAGTTCATTAGCTGCTCTGACAGCTGATGAATATCAATATATAAATTTTATATTCCACATAATGAAATACTAATACATGCCTCCCCCATTTACTGACTGTACACAAGTTTTCTTATAATCCTTTGTGGCAGAATAATCAGAATATTAAAGGATTAAACTTTAGTGCAAAATCTTGTTGATAGATTATTGAGTTTATGTATGCAGGTGTTCCATTAAGCTATAACAATGCAACCTTATATATGTTTACTTAGAAATAAATCCCATCAAATCTAATTGATTTCAATGGCTTTACTTCTGTATGGCAATAGAATTGCTATTTAACTGATTTTGCTATAGCGTTCCATACAGCATAACACTGTGTACTGAAGTGAACTTCTCAACAAAAGAAGCTGGAATCATTTTTAGATTTATGAAACATACATTTTGGGTTATACTTATTTTCCAAAACCAAGATAGATTTTTATCTAAAAGTTCAACTAAAATTATATCTTACAAATATATAATTTGAAGTATTTTTATTCTGATTAAATAATAATTTAGAACGAACTAAAATTAGAATGGCGTTCCTAATTAAAAGTTGCCCTATAGACTACATGTGTGCATCAGGCTGACTCCGCAAGCAGCAGCACTTATCCTGGTTGATTTTAGAAGTTGGGAATGGTTAGCACTTGCATAGAGGATCATCTGAGAATCCCAGGACTCTAGACTAGATTGGAAGTAAAAAAGAATCAGGAAGAAGGCATTGGCAAACAACTTCCTTAATACTAACAAGAAAACCATATGGACGTGTCCATAGAGTTACATGAATTATGCTCAAAGTTAATGGAAACTGCTTTGTACCTGGGTATATCAACTCAGAAGCAATTAATTTCCAGGGCAATTACTTCCAGCTAAGTGTTTACAGTACTACAAGGAAGTATCTATTTTAAAGTAAAGTAAATATTTATAAGCTAAATAGGTCATTTTATGTTATTCACCTAAAGTTAGGGGTATTATTCTCTTTTTAAAGCAATCTTCCAATGAAATAAACTTTAGTTGCAATTCTGTGCACACTTATTGGATATAATAGGAATTATTTCTAAATAAAGATGCATAGGATTAATGTTTTTAATGGAAAAATTATATGGTTTGGTTCTTTCATTGTAGATACAAAAAATAAAAGTTATTGTTCCAGAACAAAACTTATATACATAGAGTAGGTTTTCTATAATACATAATTTTATAGTTCGGATATCATTTTAGGAAATAGCTCTTCTAAAATGAGGTTTTTCTTCTTTCTTTTTTTGTAAATTTTATTTGAGTTTTCACAAAGAGAAAAAAAAAAACAAATAAAACATCTTTTTTGAAAGTAGCGTAATCCCGGGTTACATGTCTTCGTACAGACACAAACTCAGGTTCATGCTCATTTTTATATTCTATTCCATATTTTATTACTATTTTACATTTTCTGCATAGCTTCTCCCCTCTTTTAATTTTCTCAATTTTATTTTAATTATCTCATCTCAATTCAAATCATTGTATTTATATTTTTTGTCTGTCCTGTTTCAATTATCTATTATCTTTTTTCATTAAACAAAATTTCTCCTGTAGTTACTGATTGGAGTATGACGCC